GTGTAGACCTTGAGAACAGACTATTCAATGGTAAATGAAATGTGGACTGGATTCCCAAAACCATTTCCAGAGAACAGGTTATGAAGCTGATTGGTTCACTAGGAAGTAGAAAGGCAGTTGCCTAGGAGATGAGGCACTTGATAATATACACCTGATTCATGCGTGAAAGAAAATGGTAAAATATAAAAACTAACATTGTGAATTTTTGAAGTTGGCGAAACTTCTGGTAAGTGCATAAATTTATACTCCAGGTAGTCACCATAAAGTCATTTCAATCGATATAAAAGTATACTTACTTACAATAGAAATTTTGGAGATACTGCAAAATGGAAATCACCCTATAGAGAGTTGGTTGGATTTTAGTTTCTCTAAGAAAGAAATAAATATTAGTTATAAGCAATGTTGTAAAAAGTTATTTAAAGGCATGGAACTAATTCACTATATGCTTTGTAACTAGTAAAATTACACATTATGGAATGATTTAAATTTAATATAACTTATAACAAATAAAAGGTGAGATAAAAATGTGTATAAAACAATTTTGTATACAATTACATGCTAAAATATGAAGATAAGTTCCAAATTGTTAATAGTAATTGCTCATTCTTGAGATTATATATAATTCTTAATGCATTTTGTGGTTTTTTTATGTTTATTGTTTGCATTTTGTAGATGTCATCATATAATATCAAAAGTAAAATGATTGCTACCCTCTAAGCATTTTTTATTGTTAGAGAAGTAGAAAGGGAACTGGATATGAAGAAAACCTTCATAAACAGAAACACAGGCCAAGACATTTTGATGTTCTAACCAATGTGCTGTTTACATTTAACTGTAGTCTAAAGGAATACGGCTGCCATTGGTGGATGATGTTAGTAAAATATGAGGGCAGTTCTGCTTTGATCTTGATGAGAAGACTTCAAAAATAGCAAACACTTCTCTTTTGTTACCTTTCTGGGACCTTGTGTGAGCATTTTAGATTTTTCCATTAGAAAGGGAAGTTGAGAAGGCTGAGAGAAGATGCAATTTTAAATGTAAGGTCAATGTAGTCATTAATTATTTAAAATGTTATAGTTGAACAGACTGAAGAGTCAGTTCAAAGACATTGATGCTAAAATGTGGGTGGTTAGGTAGGGAACAGGAGACCCCTATGGTTGGTGAAGAAGGAGAAAGGAGAGAATAGTAGGATAAGAGTTCAGATCACCTGCAAAGAGCAAGAATCATTTTCATATATGACTATTCCCAACAACAATGAAGCAGAAGTGAGAAGGGAGGGTGGCTAACTATGCAAATATTTACAGACTTGTCAAAACTTCAACTTTTATGTTGAAAGAACTTAGAAATTATAGTATACTTTGAAAAAGGGAGTATTAGAGGCATGTCTCTGAATTCTATGTTGACAATATTTATTAATACAGAGAGGAAAGGTGAAATTCAGGAGCGCAGTTAGGAGACTGTGTTGCAGTGTTTCAAGAGACATATGTGTCCAGATGTTGGGAATTATGGAAATAAGGAACTTGTTTCTTGTCATATTTTGAGGGGGAAGCTGAAAGGATTTGCTGTCTTCCATGTCAGGGTACCCAGGAGCTAGACCACAGCTGGCTGAACAGAGTTAGTGAGTGACAGAGATCTTCAGGCAGTGGTGATGGAAAAGAAAGGAATGCTTCTGGAACTACAAACAATGGTATGCCACCATCGTTTTACTGTATCATCAAACAAGTAAAACTTGAACAAATTCACTTCCCAACAATTCAGTCAGAACACATGTAAAGAACAGTATTTTACAAGCTTTTTCTTATCATGGTCCACACAGGAAATAATATTTATAAGGCATGCAGAGGTAAAGGGATCCTGGCATGGGCAGCCATCAGGTTGCAGGTGTACCAGGTCATGATGCCACCCAAGAGACTGATGGAGCCTATATTTGACAAACAATTCCTAATATGAAGGTTGATAATATATTTAATGACTAAAGACATCTTCTTCTTCTAAGCCACAGACATCAGCAGCAACAACTCAGGACAGTATTGTCTGCAGACAGTATGTTAGTGCAAAAGTCCTACTTTGGCTTGGAATTGATATAAATAGGAGTGAGCTGATAATTTTCTCTTGGATATCCCCTCTTGCAACTTCTTTCCCTCCAAACTCCCAAGGTAATTATTATTACCACTGTTGTATTTGTGTAAGAGTTAAGGTTAATTTGCAAGCATTCACAGTGCTTTGCAATTGATCTTTGACCTGAGGAGGTCCCAGATTTAGGCATGGCATATGAAGTAGATAACTGAGTTTCTGTCTAGATCTCTCTGTCTAGGTTCTCTCCAGGCCTTTCTGCTTTTTGACTTACCTTCACATCTCATAGTTACCAGGAAGAACCCAGATGAGAGCCTGGACTTGAGCCTTCCTTTGAGCTACATTATAAGTCAGAATTATGGGAACATGAACTTCTATACAAAATCACTTAGACTCCTAAGAAGCACTACCACTTCAAAAGAAAGACAACGATCAGAACACTAGAAACCAATAAAAACAATTATTGCCAAAAACAAACGTGAGTTGTACATAAATATAATTAGCTTGGGCTTGTGGATAAATGCAGAACTTTAAATCAAATAACCATAATAAATGTTCTTTATAGCACACAGAAAAAAAAATTAAAAATAAAAATTAGGCATATTTAGGCCATATAGGAAGCTTCAACAAACTCTAAGGAATTAGAAACTATGTAGTCTGAAATACATGTGAAAATATTTTAAATAAATAGTGAATAATAAATATATTATCCATAGGCTTAAAAATTAATAATATGTCTAATTTTTACCTTAGTTAAAATGGACATTTTGATGAAAATTGGACACTATTCAATGATTATGACAACGAAAATATCTGTTATTAATGCAAGCAAATTCATATAACAAATAATCCTAAACATGTACAATGGCTCGGGATACACAGTAGATGTACATTCTTGCTCAAATAAATGATCAAAAGTGGTTGCAGATTTTGGGAAAGCAAGTTTCTCCATAGGACAATTTATTCAGAGAAATAGTTTGATAGAGGCTCAGTCTTCAACAGGTAGCTTACATGGTACTGCAGTGCATCATGCGATCCAACAGCATGGGTTACAGAGAAATAAAAATTAACCACAATGAGATATCACTAAACCTTCACTAATGTGGCTAGAATTTTTCTGATAGTACCAAATTTTGATGAGGATGTGCGTCTACTGGAAAACTTGTCCATTGTTATATAAGCGTCTGTTGATGGACTCACTTACATTGGAAAGATGTATTATTTCTCTTCAGCTCATCTTCTTCTAATCAGGTTTTCACATGTATCATTTTGCAGTATATACGTATCATTTTGACCACTTATTGTGGTCAGTAATGATGTCTACATTTTTAAAGATAAGAGTGGATTCTCATTTATCAGTTTTACTGTCTTTCAGCAACATTCGATATGGTTTATTATTTTCTTCTTCTTGATACTCTTTGGAAAACTTGGCTCCCATGATATCAAATTATCTTGGTTTTTCTCCTAAATCATTTCTTACTCTGTATCTGTATCTTCTATTAATTTTTGGTTGTTGTGTCTGTGCTAGTACTCAGTGTACTGTTATTTTCTCTAGTTCCCTAAGTGATCTCATCTACTCTCATGAATTTTTATTCTTCTTATATTGCAATAATTCCCAAATTTATGTCTCTAGTCATTGTTTCTTAGCTTCTGAGTCTTCTTATCTCCACTATGATGTTGGAGTGCTGTCAGTGCCCTGCTCAGATCCTTTTGGGCCTTACGTATCAGATCCTCTGACCACTTCCAACTCCTGGCATCTATGTCTTTTACTAATGCTTCATACTACCTCTGGGGTCCCACTATGGGAGAAAGATCCATTTTCCCACAGTTAAAACCTGCTTGATAACACCCTATTCATTGACTGTTCACTTTCCTGTCTTACTCCCATAGTCTCCTACTGATTTGTCTGGCTTTGTCTCCCAATGAAACCATTTTATACTCAAATATTTGCCACAGAATCACCTTCTGGAGAGACCCAGACTGAGATATATTTATATATATTTCTCAAACCTAATATGTAAGGCTCAAATTTTGTATTTTCAAGATATAAACACACAAAAGAAAAGAGGGAAGGAAAACTTACATACCCCTCTGATGCTGGTCAAACGGTACCAAGTTCTAGTTACGAAAGGTGAGTAATTTCTGCAGATATAATATATAGCATGGTATGATAGGAAACAATATTGTATTGTATACTTGCAATTTGCTAAGAGGAAAGTCAAATTAAATTTGAACACACACATGTACATGGAATGGCAAGAATATGTAGAGATAACAGATATGCTATTTAACTTGATTGTGGGATCATTTCACAATGAATAAGTATGTCAAAACTTCAAGTTGTACACCTTAAATATGTACAACTATTATATAACAATGACACTGAAGATGTGAAAATCAATTTTCTTGTTTTAATATGTATTTGTTTTTTATTTCAATTAGATATTACACATTTGTCAATTAAAAACCGCATCATTATCTCAAAAAAATACCATAGTTCTTGTAAATTTGGATGCTAGTTTTTAAATTACAAGGCTGATTATGAATCCTGCTAACTTTCTAATAAATTTCCATTTTTCTTAAGAAAAGTGTATCCCCCTTATTACAAAACTTTTTCTAGAAGTTAGATATATGTTTTACATGGAAAGAAGCTCAATTCTATAAGTATCACAAAAGGCTCTCATTCCTTCCCAGGAGATGTTCTCTGTAACCCAAATAGGGGCACTGATTTGGGCCAAGCTTTTGACAGATTGTGATACTAGAAACATTAATTTTTTTATTTCATGAAACTAAATTGCATGGAACTGATTGGAGAGGGCAAGAATATTTTTTGTTTCTGGGCCAAGCCCTTGCTCAGCTATAAACATATCTTTAAATAATCCTTAGGCATAATTACTGCATCTATTCATGTTACAGGCTTTCAACATTTGTGGCGGCAAATGGAAACAGAATTGTTCTACAAAGGTATCTGCCCTGCCATTAATGTTGGTCTGCCTGTGTCGCGTGTCAGATCTTCTGCCCAAACCAGAGCTATGAAGCAGGTGGCAGGTACCATGAACCTGGAATTGGCTCAGTATCGTGAGATTGCTGCTTTTGCCCAGTTCGGTTCTGACCTTGATGCTGCCACTCAACAACTTTTGAGTCATGGTGTGTGTCTAACTGAGTTGCTGAAGCAAGGACAGTATTCTCCCATGGCTATTGAAGAACAAGTGGCTGTTATCTATGTGGGTGTAAGGGGGTATCTTGATAAACTGGAGTCCAGCAAGATTACAATGTTTGAGAATGCTTTCTTGTCTCATGTTGTCAGCCAGTACCAAGCCCTCTTGGGCACTATCAGAGAAAGATCTCAGAAGAATCAGATGCAAAGCTGAAAGAGATTGTAACAAACTTCTTGGCTGGATTTGAAGCTTAAGCTCCTATGGATTCACATCAAATACCAGTTCAGTTTTTTCATTGTGTGTTCTAGAAAATTAGTTCCATTTGTAAAAGAGTTACTCTCATATTTCTTATGTACAGAAATCACATGAACAATAAAAGTTCCGTAATGCATTAAAAAAAAAAATCAAACAGGCTAGCTCTATCACACACTATGTCTTTCATTACGCAAGTTCTGGAGAGAATTCTGATCTTAACAAAATGGATTTTACTGATATTGTTCATCAGTAAAATTTAAACCTTATCAATTATTGTAATGAAACATGGATTAAGCATGAGATGTAGAAAGAACATAGTGACATAGGAGCCACTGTGAGCATAGCTCCTCACAGCTCTCCTTAAGCTTTCCTTGGATCTGAAATTAATCTCCCATCAGTCTTTGAAGCATCATCAGGGATGGGGTCAAGGAGAAAGGGACTCTAGACCACCTCCTGCTCACATCGCAGTGTTTTGGCTCCATTTCTACTTAGAACTTAGTGGCTTGAATTATTCACTTTGCCCCTGTAAACACAATCTATTCAGGATATTTTGTCCTCCACATGTTTGTACGTCATTGTGCTGTGCTCATTATTATAATCTTTGTTCAGATGCAGACTACCACTGCTTCAAAGTTCAAAATTTGGAGATAGTAATCTTGCCAAACATAACCTGTGTGCACTAGGCTGTTTTCTCTTCTTAGTGGGAGATTCTAACTATTCTCCTGGCAATGAAAAAAAGGGGGGTGTTATATTTATCTGATGTTCCTGTTCATATGGCATATCTGTTTGTTTTTTGAGACAGAGTCTCACTGTGTTGGCCATGCTGGAGTACAGTGGTGTAATCTGGGCTCACTGCAGTCTTCATCTCCTAAATTCGAGTGATTATCCTGCCTCAGCCTTCCAAGTAGCTGGTATTACAGGCACGCACCACCATTCCTGGCTAATTTTTGTATTTTTAGTAGAGACACGGTTTTACCATGTTGGCCAGGCTGGTCTCGAACTCCTGACCTCAAGTGATCTGCCCATCTCAGCCTCCCAATGTGCTGGGACTACAGACGTGAGCCACCGTGCCCGGCCTCATATTGCATATCTGTGAACTTTGCTGATAGGTTATGTATTCAGAATGATATTGGCCATCTTAAGATCTCCTATGCTGTGGTGACTTCCTGAAAATTTTGAAGGCTCATGTTTTTATATGACATTAAGTCTGAACAAACAAATGAGTGAATAAAAGTTACCAGAGTTGTAAATCTTGGTTCTGGATTCAAAATAAATCTATATGCTTACAATAGAAATGTTTAATGTATGTTATACAACAGAAAAATTTGGAAAATATTAGAATCATTAACTCAATGAGAACTAAATTCTTTCATTGAAAATTGATAGGATATTTTGTTAGAAGCTTCGCAGCTGCCTACTCAGATACCAGTAATTCTTTCTGGATTATCCAGGGCAGAGTGATGAAATTCCTGAAGGCAATGATTTTGTTGACAGAGCTAAAATGGCTACTCTTCAAACAGCCTATTTCAAACATAGAAGCTCCACGTTTGAAACAATCAAGGGCTTGTTCTCATTATTTGAAATATGCTTTAAAAAAGAAAATGGGAAAATGGATTGAAAAAGGGGGCAAAAGAAATGTAACTGGACTATGAGAATTACCTAACAAAATAATTTCTGTACCACATTTCATATTTCTTTAGTCAGTATTGTCATGTCATCAACAAAATCATCTGCATAAAAGATGATTTAAAGCCACTAGTTTCTTATTATACTTCACAAAAATTATTCAAAACATTAGAGAGGTACTATTTGCCAGCAGATTTCTTTACTCTCCACTCTTAAGTAACACAGGATTTTCTCCAGGCCAATTTAACTACAACACTGGTGACACTTGAATTTCATAGAATAAATACACTTGTAAGGTAGGAGATTTTTCTCTAGTTTTAAGTGCATAGGATGTTGGAATAGGCTGAAGTATATTTCTCTTCAGCTATAGCTCAGGCAGTGATAAAGGCTCTCTTACTATACATAGTTATTTATTAGCATAATTACTGTACCAAAAGGAATAGAAGAATGGTGTAGAAAAGGAAAACAGCAAATCAATAGTTAACATTTAAAAATAGAGACTGCAGAAGACCTGTAGATATTTGTATGTTCTGACATGTTGTCTTCTGTTTTTTTTAGGCTGAGTATAATATATGTTCCACTAAAGTGCCCTGACAACTATGACCAAATGCAGCAAATGGCATCACATACTTCAATTTATGTGACTTTTGCTTTGCAGTTAGATATGAAGAGATTGAAATATATTTACTTTTCTAGAGTGTTAAATTTTGGGTTTCAGGAGTCTAAGAAGAAAAATGAAATATTTTGTGGATTTAATCAAAACTTTTAAAGCAATCCCAATTTCTTTAAAAACATATAAAACTTACACGTCTAAAAAGTGAAATCCCAATTTCTAAAAGTGAGTTGAGTTTTTTTAATTGTACTTTGCTTTTATAAATATGTTATATGTCTGAATACTAAATTAAGTCAATTACATGAAGAAACATTGCTGACTCTGTTATTTAGTGATGCACTAGTTGTTAAAATGATGATAGTGTTGATACTCAAATCACTGACTTCTTTCCCTTAAATTCTTCTATTCTTTAGGTAGTTTAGTGAGTTTCCCTGTAAAGAGGTTGGTTTCACCATGCAAAGATGTTGGTTATTTCTCCTGTAGAGACAGAAGAAGGGTTATATTTGATGCTTTAGGATCTAGGATTCATTGTATTTATACCCTCATGTCAAAAATTCTCACACCTTTGAAAACACTGAGAGTCACACTGGAAAATTATTCTATTGCTGAATGTTCTTTTTCTCTTTGTCTTTTGAGTGAGCCATGGTGGTCAAATTGGCTCTGTTTACTACACCATATGTTATGTAATTATTTTCTTTGGATTGAAATAAATTTTTTCCTTATAGCATTAACTGATAAATCTACTGAAGATTATATTTGTCATGGCTTATGCTAAAAAACTCAAATGAATAGGATATAATTGATCTAAAAGTGAAGACAGACCAGATAAAACATAAGTCTTTTGCACTCTTAAGGTCTGGGATTCTTGGAGTTTAATTCACTAACTGTATGCTACTGTTAGTTTAAATTTTAAACAACTCTTAGTTTAATACAGTATTTTAGACAAAAATGCCATTGACCTTTTACCATGTAGTAATTCTTTTGGTGAACATAAATGCTATATCTAAGAGACTATATAAACCAATTAATCTACCAGTTTCCCTCTAATCACAAAGAAAGTGAAGGCATACTATTGTTCTTATGTAAAGATTATATTTGTAATTGTGGAGCCCTGGCATTGGAAAATGGTCAGCTCACAAGTTTGTAAGAGAATTTATCAACAACAGTATACGTTTGAAAAAGGAAAGTTTTATTAGGAAGAAAGAATGCTGCAGAAGAGTACAATGGATTGCCTCAGCAAGAGAGAACTGAGCACGCAGTGGTGTATTTTCCTTAGGAGCATTGATGGACCTGAAAGCGGGAGATGAAGGGCACTTTGCATAGTAAGTGATTACATTTGTAGACATCTTGCTGCCTTAATGTCAGCAAGGCTTATACAATGAGTTTCAGCATGCATGCCTTCTGGAGATGTGTAGAAATTCTGGTTACTTACAAATTTTAAGTTGCAAAGAGGTCTGGAACTAGGTGTAGACTGTAGAAAACAGGGAAGTCTAATTACTTCTAAATTCCTCAAATAAGGAGCTTTTGTTTCCAGATGGCCTACTTGAAAGCCACCAAGTGGTTTTTGCTACCCTCAGTAATAAAATGGGATAAAAAACATTAATTTCATGCAAAATAGCTGAATTTGGTAAAATATTTAGAGTGTAGTCATTTTTATGCAATTAATGTTTGAATGACATTGTGGAAAAGTGAATTTACCTCAATCAATGTTTTCCTCAAATTAACTTAAACCAGTGGTAAATAAATATGTAAAAACTAATTTTTTCAATGCTTTAAGAAATAAATTCTCAGAACTGTGATTTTAATTTTGCTTTTTAAAAATATCATAATAAAGACAATCATGAGAAAGTACTCTAGAGCAAAATAATAAACTAAGATATTTGAAATAATTTCAAAATATAATCAATCACAATAACAGTAAATGGATTAAATTTCACAATTCAAACAAGCAATTTACAATTTGAGAAAAAGTTTTCTACAAAGTGGCTGTCACACTTAAAACAATAGTGAAAAGCTGGAGCATAAGAACTTTAAAAATACAGAATTATATAAAAATATAAAAAAAGAGAAAAAGGTGTGACAACATTAATATCAGCAAAATTTAAAGCTTAAAGCTATAAATTAGACCAAGGGAGATGATGTAAATAATATATATCAAAAAGATAAAATACTCAAATATTTTAGCAATTTTTTCATAATTCCCATTTATATTATAAAAAAGCCACACACACAAGGACGAAACCAATAAATGTAGCCTAGTAATTGAAGCACTTAAAATCTCAAAAATCAAGAATTTAATAATACAAAAAATGAGAAAATAGGAGCTAAAATTTTACTTGATTACAAAATTAACGTTTATTCAAAACATATATTTATTTTGATCAAGATGAACTACAATGTGGAGCTAAAACACACAATTTACAGCAGTCGGTTTTCTTTAAGACTTTGTGTTTTACTTATCTGTAAGCAGCCTTTTTTACTGTAGGCACATCTAGCAAGGTTTTTGGGGAACTCACTCATGAAAATTTTGAAGAAGAACAAGTCTTTCAAAGATCAAGTGGGAAATATAACAATATAGTAAATAAAATGTATATGTAAATGTAATTCTAATAATATTTAAAATTTACCTCAAACTGGGATGAAAAGTGGCTTCCTACTAAATTTGGGATGCAGTGTTGTTTATTGTTTTGGAAATATTCCTTGAATAGATGTATCTGTGGTATTTCAAGTACCTGGAATGCTGATTTAACATAGCAGACACATAGTAAAAGATAATTTTGTGAACAATTAAATAATGAACGTGGAGAAATCAATAGTCGTGACAATAGACAATGTCAGCAAATAAATTAGAGGTATTAAATATGCAACCTTCTAAAAACATGGTAACTTGGCAGTTGA